GTTCGAAGCTCCGAATGCGTTCCTCCCCTCCCGCCCCCTCGTATCGCGGGAGCGACCCAACCCTTTTCGGAACGGCGATTGCAATTTTGCGTGCTTCTTGCGCGACCAGCGTACCGGAAGACCGGTACCGCTAACACGTCGTTTAGAAGGATAACATCTTTGAGTAAGTTGCAAGATTACGATCGAAACAAGCGAAAAACAAGCGAGACTGAAATATTCTTCAACGATAAGTTTACGGCTGACATAAGAGCGCGCCGAAAGAACGTGAATCGCTAGCAGTTAATTAACAGTAAAAAGAATTTTTGGACGACATTAGCGCTGGCAGATGGTTTATTTGTACGATTCCGACGTTTTCGGCCATACGGGTCGCGGTCCTTTTCAAGGGACTTGATAATAAATGTTACGTCATCGATATTAAATTAAAAACGGAGAGAACTATGTTCGAAGGCACGTCCATCCGACGCAACGACCACGGTAGGACGTAATATTTATTATCAAATTCCTTGAAAAGGACCACAATGCGAAACGTGGGAATCAAAAAATAAACCATCTGCCAGCCTAACGTTAGTCTTCTTCTTCTTCTTATCCTTGGCACCCGGCTCTAACTTAGACACGCCACGTCGAACCAATAGTCGTTTGTGCATTACTTAGTTTCTAATCATTTTTCGAGCGAGTTCCAATTAGTTCACACAATGCAGAGGCCCAACTATTGGACCTAGCCCCCCCCCCCCCCCCGAGTATCAAAAATTCCTCTTCTAGGTCAGAAGACGTGCGAATCGCTCAACGTCCCGAACGGAACTACGCCAGTCTAATGTCGTCTAACGATTCGTTTTACTGATAAAAGTGCGCGTTTAAAAAGGAGAATAAGTCAAATTGAAGAATAACTTCGACGACCGATCGACGGAGCTTCGCGGAATTGGCTTCTGTCTGGCGGAACGTCCGCCCTCGGACGTGGTCCCCCGTGTCATCCTTTGAGATTTCAGGCGGTTCGATCGTCCGTTCCCTCCCAACTCTGCTCCCCGCAGTCTCGGCTCTCCGCCTTCTCGCCTCTCGCTCGAACCTCGGGCCATTGTTAAAACTTTTTCGAGGTTATTACACGTGAGATATGTAAATGCGTCGCCGGTCGGGGTCGGTCCTCGACGTCGAAGGACCAGCTCCACCGGGTCGTTCCCACTCTTCCCTCTTTCGAGCTCTTTCTCGCTCTCTCTCTCTCTTTCCCGGTTCCTTTACTCCGCTCAGCAGGGGCGGATCGGGCTATAGGCTGGCTGATAATTCGCAATCTTGTACTATCGCGCACATGGTTAGACCCTCGTTACAGTTGCGAGAACGCGAATCTTTCGCTGCGAAGACTTGTAAACGTTCTAATCACGTGGAGACTCGAATTACTTAATAACTTATTCGAAAACGAAATTCTTCAAAGCCATTTCGAAGGGTCCGAATCTCTCGAGGAATCTTGAACGTCAAAAAATGTTTGACTACCCGAGACGTTCGGAATTCTTAAAAGTTGTTCATGGCAAAGTCAAACGATTATAAACGATCCTTGAGTTCGCTTAACATTTCAAATAATTTAAGGTTTTTTTATTATATTAATATTCGAGATAATCCGACGTACTCTGTACCTATAATGTCTTCTCTCGTTCAATTCTCGAATTTATTTAAGCTCGACTACACCAACGAAACTGTCGAGCCGATAGATTTTTTTTTTATTAGTCTCGACGTTTCCGAACTACTCGACAAAAGTATCGTAAAGGAACTCGGCGCCTCCGATACCGCCCAGCCATTCACTCGTCGCTGCTGTACAAATATCCTTGAACAAGAATGTAACTGACGTTGTTCCACATCGTCTTCCTACGCCCGGGCTGATATTATTTAATCGCGCGCGGTGCGTCGTCCGAGATGGAATTTCTTTTCAGCGTCCGCTCCTGCTCCTCGCCATCGCCACCACCGCCGCCTCTGCATCGTCATCACCATCTCCCCGACTTCTCTGTAACGGATAGGCCTCACCTCCGGAACGGAACTGACTCCAGTCTGCTTTCGGTTTGGCCATCGCGAATGCCAGCGCGCCCGAGCTCAGTAAGAGCGTGGCGTTCACGACGTGCGCTTCGCTGACCGCCGACCACGCGATCGTCGTCCTCTCAATCCTCCCGGGCAAAGTTTCTGGGGACCAGAAACGGTCCCCTAATTCGTCCTGCCCTACCGTTCTCAGAGCGAACAAAAAGGCCGAAGGGATTCGCCCGCGCGCGCGCGCGCACAGGACGAAGGACGAAGCTCCTGTGACGAGGTGGATCGAATCGGGACACCACATGTGACCGGGTTGGAAGGAATGAGTCGAAATAATTCGGCGGGTCGAGAGGGAAGCTCGATGTCGAAAAAGAGCCTGTAAGGGTCCTTCTCTGATACACAGTAAAAAAATCGTGTGTTCAAATGTTCCTGTGTTACCAAGATTTGATTCTTACCTCAATGTAAAATTAACATAAAGCGTACACGTAATTATTTTCGCAACATTTTTACGTGTTATATTTACGTTGACGTAATAACTTGACACTTTATGTACGTTATTTAAAAATGTAATATCATTTTGAGTCCTTCTAACGCAACTATTTCAGAAAATCAACCAAAGCGTGTAACATCGACATTTCTCAAAAGTTACTTCAACTAATCTGACTTGTAACTATTCGTACAGTTTACTTATCCCGTCTGTTTTTATTACATCGCACTTAAGGTTGAAAGAACATAAATGTGAAGTATAGTGTCGATTAATTAACATTTATAATTTGTGAAAAAGTAACACGCGCGACAAACGTTATTTTAACTTCAAACTTAGAGTGGACTTTTCGGGACGTGTGAAAAATATTAACGTTAACATTTTATTTTTTTACTGTGATAAGCAACTCCTTTTCCTCAAAGGAAACCGTTCGATTCTTCCAGCGTCATAAATAATAGGCTCGACACACGTGTGAGTTTTAGTGACGTATCTACAGATCGTTGCGACGTGCTCGCTTTGTTAAATCCACGGCACTCGTACATCCGCAACGATACAAACGGGTCGTATCTGTGATCCTTAAGGTAGTGCTAATTAGTGATTAACCGTGATCGATTTTACCGCGGATCTCCTGGTCGCGATCGAAGCCACGTCGGTCCGCGATTCGAGATCGACACGGGGCAGGAACGAAGCGGAGCTCCGCGGACGAATCTCGCGTTCCTCTTCCGTTTTGGCGCGAAGCCGAGGTACCCGACGTTTCGCGCCGCTCGATCCTCGCCGAGTGTGTTTCACTCCGTCCGTGCCTCACTCTACTTACCGAGGCTGACCCTGTTCGTAATAATTAATGGCGTTAGACCGGGCGAGTGCGCGGCGGGTTCACTCGTGCCTGCGTCCCAGCGCGCTAAGTACACACGGACCGGGGTATCCGTTCGCGTCCGCGCGTCCGCTCCTTAGGCTGTTAAACAATTTCCGCGCGCAATTGAACGCGCGCGTAATTAACGGCATTGTAATTAACGGCGTCAGCGCGGATGCAGATCGCTCGCGTTGGGAGTCGCGCGCCTATCCTGTGGCGCTAGGCGCGAGGCGCGGGCCTAATTGATCATTAACGCGGGGGGATCCATCGATCTCCCTTGCCCTCCTTCGCTTTCGCTCGTGACTCGGGTCGGATACTGCGTTATTGTGTGCACGGAGCCCCCTCGTAAAGACCCGGAACCACCAGTCGCGGCCGGCGAACGGCAACGGTCGGCTCAAAAGTCTCGTCAGATCGGAGCGCGCCCGGAGAGAAGTCGATACGCGTCTCTGATAGCCTCGATGTGCACTGGGACGATATGATTGAAAATATTCGAAAGGCTCCGAGCGTAAACACGCCGAGCCACACGAGCGAATTTGACACGCGAGCGCAACGGAAGGGAGGGGGGGGGGGATCATAAATCATTAATGCGCTCCGGCATTCCTCCGTTAATGAGATCCCCTCCCGTGAGACGAGGCCGGAGTTGATTTTCCCAAATGTCGAGCATCAGGAGCAGCGAACTGAGCCGCACGGTCGTATACTCGCGGCTTGTCTTGCAATCAGCTCCGAGTGGATTCTATTGTACATAACTGCGTCCACCGCTGAGATACAAATATTTTCGTTTTTGTATTCGCTTGGAAATTGTGCCGTACGATCGAGAAATCGCGTGGTTTCGTGAATATATATCTGTGCCCGTTGCTCCGCAACTGATTTTTTATCTTCGCGCGAAGACGCGGAGAACCTTCCGACGACGCCCCGCGCTTCGACAAAAGTCGCGCCTATTCGCGGAACTCGGTTAACAGATTGTGACAACACAAGCGGGACCGACCGGGGGAGAGACCGATCGCCGCGGATCGGCTTTGGAGGCGTGCGAGTATCATTTAATTGTGGTTTTGCAGGCGCAGCCGGTGAACCCTTACCGAGACCGCGGGCACGGGTGCGTGACTGCAAGGATGCGCGCACGCAGGAGACGGTGCGTGATGTCCCGGTGACGACGACGGCGATCACGACCACGAGTGCGCACGCACGCGAGCTCGCACGCACGTATTCGCGCGCGTGTACACGCGCGAGAGGGAAAAAGAGAAAGAGAGCGAGAAAGAGCGAGAGAGAGAGAGAGAGAGAGAGAGAGAGAGAGAGAGAGAGAGAGAGGAGGAGGAGGAGGAGGAGAGAGAGAGAGAGAGA